CTGTTCCAGTCTCTTTTCTGCCATATTTAGTCTCTGATTAGAGGAGTCAATTAGAATCAGTTGTACACTGGGATAAGCTTCTAGAACGGCGGCAGAAGCTCGTCCGCTGCCAGCACACAGATCTAGAACCTTCAGATCTCCACAAGGAGGCAGAGCCAGCACCAGTTCTGATAGCATCGACTTGGCTTGAGGCAGGCGGCGTTCTAGATGCAGATCGTACCAGTACGCATCACCCCAGAACCCGCCGCGACGTTCTAAATTCTTGACCCACGACTCGGATGGAGACGAAATAACGTCTGCTTTGCGCTTGTTCGGACGAGATTCTGCAGGTGGCTTGGAAGCGGTTGAGCTGCTGGTAGAGAACGGAGTGAGAGCCATCTTCTTGGTGCCGGATGGGGTCGTCACGCTCACGAGAGGAGGATCGGATGTCTCCATTATATGGGTTGGGAAAGTGATTTGGTCGTAGTGATTTAAAATGTTAGGACTATTTCTGCGTGGATTCTAAATGTTTTAGACAGAAATATGTACAGCAACAGGACAGAAGTTCTAAAATAGGGGAATACAGTAGCAGAACCAAAACTGAGTGCCAATAAGTATGAATTATCCTGGGAAGACAGCTATAGCGAGCTTAACCATGTCACTTTCAGATTCATAATTACTAAAGTACAACTATGGTAGGATTTGACTATATACACTATATATGTACTCTATATCAGGCAAGCATGCAGTATTTACAAGATATATTTGCTGAAACGTCTTCAATGAATTATAGGTATCGTTGCGCTTAAAACCGCACCTTGCTTCACTTCAAAATAAACATGGCTCGCAACCATAAAGAACGTAAAAAGAAGAGCAAGCAATATAAGTGAGTAGCTGTTGAGTACGGTAATAAAACAGAACCCCGACTATTTAGAAGAAGGTCATACTCCTAACGTGTGACAGGCTACTGTCGCACGGTCGCCACACAGTGGCCAATCACCACTCAGTATAGGTTTAATGGCTGTGACGGTCTCGATGCACGAGACCGTCTCGTTAATCAATCAGAGTCATATTTGCCAGTTACTTCCCAAGCGCGAATGTACATCGGTAACGGGTTCGCATTAGCTCGTTACACCTGGTAGCACTTTGTAATCCGTCCAACGACCAAGATCAAGATGAACGCCACGTCGATGAACGACGCGTCCACGACGTCCGGAATCTCACTTGAACATGCCAGCTTCCCTCACCTGTCGGTGATTAAATAGGAAGCTGTACACCGCCTCGGAGCGGCAGCGTCATCAAGGCATTGCTGATGACTGACACGGAAGAACAGCTGCGACTAGCTGCACAAGAGTTCATGGTGCGTGAACTCGCTAACTTTCGTCAGTGAGTGTTGACTCCCACGCAGACCAAGAACAAGTCCGACATCATAAAGCTCGATGTCTCCACGTACAGTGGTGAAGGCGAGGGTCGCCTCCACTTGAACCGGTGGTTCTGCGAAGTGGAAATCGCAGTCGAAGCTCGGCAGATTTCCACCGAGCTCGCGCGTACACGGTTCGTCCTGTCCAAAGAGGAAAAGAAAGCAAAGGAATGGGCACTCACCAAACTCGTTGCCGATGAATCCTGCTTCCCGACCGTGCAGTCCATGAAGGCCGACTTGCGACTCGAGTTCGAGCCGCCCTAAAATAAAAGGATCGAGCGCTCAGCTTTCCTGTCGCTGAACTAGGGACGCATGCCCATGCTCGAGTACATCCAATGTCATATCGTGCATCACATCGCACCCGATGGACATGACAACACAGGACAATGCTTCATCAGCGGCATGAACGCTGGCTACCAGCGTTTCTATTTGACGAAGAAGGCTCCGAGTACACTGGAGGAAGCATTCGCGGTCGCTCTCCGTGAAGCCTACAGTGTGTCGGCATCACAAGCATTCGATTTCTCTCGTCCCCTGCTCCCAGCTTCTTAGTCTGGACCAGAACCCAAGGAAGTGGACGCAATCCAACACTATGGTGAACGTCAGCAGTCGACATTTTCGACACAATCGCCTTCGACGCGTACGTCGCGTCTGAAATGCTTCCGTTGTCGTAAACCCTGTCAACGCGCGGCAGTGTGCCGTGCACCAGCGACTGTGGTGGCGAACGTCGCAAGCGAGAACGACGTTGTCGTTGCTTAAAAACGGCGACAATCAGTAGGTGCGGGGCACCCTGCTGGCCGTGAACGGAGAGATGGTTCTCTGGTGGCAGAACTTTCTCCTAACCGTTCAGTGCTTCATGTACACCACCTCCGGTAGCAACTCGAGACTGATCGTGCTCAGTCTGCATATCGATGCCGCAAAGCGTTCGATTCGCGCGCTGCTGGATTTGACAAACAACTTTGTTCACGCCGAAAGTTTGTCGGTGTTACCAACGGACATGTCCATACATGAAGGTCCAAGTTACATGGTTGTGAAGTATGCAGACGGTGAGCCGCGGCGGTTGCCGCGACGCTCGGCCACCTTCTCGTACGAGTGCGATGGATTTCGCGGGTCAGACGACCTCATAGTTATCGAGCTGAGCGATTCGTTCGATTGCATCTTCGGGTTGCTGTGGCTAGCTCGTCACCAGCCTCACATTGACTGGTTAACCAAGACTGTCTGTCCGCGCAACATTGACGTGAATGCGGTGTTGGCGTCCCTGAGTGTGATACCCAACACGTGGCCACATGTTGTAGTCATGAACACTGACTCCATGACCTTCGCTGTTCACGAAGAGTGCGATGACCCTTCGTATGCGGCGTGCGAACACGCAGCTTGTGCCGGTTCTGAGCAGGGGTCTCAGAACGTGTCCAACGTGGTTGAGCAGTGGTCCCTACGTTCCGATGAGCAGCGGCTATCGGGTGAAAATGATGTGGTTGAGTGTGATCTCTCACTCGCGGTTGAGCATGAGTTCCCGCACGTGGTCGAGCGGAAAATCCCTTTTGAAGTGGACGCACTCGAGTCGTGCGTCCCACCGGTGAAGTGTCCAGAATCATACCACTAGACCACAAGGCCACACAAATGCAAAATACCACCCACATGTCGCGCCGTCAGCACGCACGCTACCTACCAAACACACACACCACATATACTCACACACACACTATTTCAAAGCGCTACCAACCCAACCCTCCGCACTCCTTTTACACGCTTACTTGCGTCAATCTCACACTCTGTTCGGCACTGAGGTCGTCGCAATCCCCGACTACCTCGTGTGCATTAAGGAGACTCAGTTGGCACTGAGTCTGAGGTCATCTCAGTTCTTGTGGAATCCTCGAGCACGTCGCGTGTTTGCGACATCGAGGTTGCATGCCTTTCATGTGTGACGCGGCCGAGATCAAGCAGTTGCCTGATCTCCCATGGAAACATTTCCTGAGCGACCTGAAGAAGGGCGACATCGAGCAAGTGTGCATGCTCGTGCGCGAAGACAATGCGTGTGCCGCAGCGGTCGAAGTCGACGCCGATGGCCCAGTGTCCGATACCAGGACTCGACCAATAGAGGCCGAGCCGAAGTGCGCCCGTGAGGGGCGCTACGCTTCTCAATCGTTGCCGGCACTCGAGGCCTCCGGCAACCCGTCGCTTCTCTCGTCCGGGAATATACTGACATCTTCCCGGACAAGGTCACAGCCGTCCTTCCCCCTGATCGTGGGGTCCAGCACGAGATCGACCTCGTGCCCGGCGCGAAATACTGTGTGACGCGGCAGTGTCCGCTTCCTCGAGATGAAGTAGAGACAATGGATGCCGTCTTCGGGAGTCACCGGCAAGCCGGCCACGTACGCAAAAGTCTCTCTCGATGTTCCAATCCGACCTTCTGTGCGAAGAAGGCCACCGGCGGATGGCGGAACGTCCATGCCTTCAACAAGCTAAACGATGCCACCATTCCAGCCTAAACGCCAATTCCACGGAATGACATGGTGTTCGACACCATGTCTGGCATCACCAAGTACAGTGCCATAGATCTGATGGGCGGGTTCTATCAGATCCTCATGCGTGAAGGAGACGTGCCGTTGACCGCTGTCAGCACCCCGAGCGGGATGCTATAGGAACGGTTGGTGACGCTGCAGGGGTTTAAGAATGCCCCGGCCACTTTCAACAGAATGGTGTCAAACCAGTTGATGTTGACTTCAGTCGACATGAATGGACTAGTGGCACATGCAGAGGTGCACTCGGTCTAGAGCGATCAAAGACGCTTTGACATTATCCAACTGAGCATCCTTGAAGTACCCACGCGGACATCTTCTCCACGAAACCTCAAGAGCGTCTGCAGGACGCAGTCATAGCTAGGACTTGATTCACAGCTAGTTCATAATCCTCACTTTGCAATTTGCATCCTCATTGACAAGCTACTTCTCTCTTCGTCCAACTAAACCGGTTACGTTCCTACCGAGAGTTTGCACCAGCTATTTAGACGATATCTTCATCCACAGACGTGCCGAAGACGGCATGACCGACGTCGAGGTACATCTGGATCACCTCCGTGAAGTGTTTGAGGTGATGAGACAGAACAAGTTTAACGCTGACTTGAAGAAGCGTATCTTCTGTGCTCCCGAGATTCCCGTACTCGGAAGCTATGTCAGCAAGGAAGGTGTCCGTGCCGACCCGGAGAAGATTGAGGCCATGCGTGCATGGCCTTCTCCAAATGGACCAGAAGCAACTTCGCCAGTGGATAGGACTGGCGACGTACCTCCACCATTACTCGAAGAACTTCGCGGCAACGCTACGACCATTGTCGCAGTTGCTGAAGACAGATGCCACGTGGCCATAGCGGTCTTAACACCAAGCCGCTTTTGACGCGGTGAAACCCAGCTTATCCACTGCGCTCGTGTTGATGCTGGCCGACCACACGAAGCAATTCCACGTCGTGTGCGACGCGAGTGCCTTTGTAATTGGCTGCGCGTTAATGCAGTTTGACGACGATGGACGCGAACGAGTGGTGAGTTACTAGTCGCGTCAACTGAAGCCAGCGGAGCGCAACTACCCCGTTCACGACAAGGAGTTGCTGGCCATGCGCTACGCGATCATCAAGTTCCGCGTGTATCTGTTGGGTGAACAGACGTTTGCTGTCTACACAGATCATGCGTCGCTGCGGACAGCGACGAAGAGCCCTAGCGCATGGTACAATAGCTCTTGTTATTAGCGAAATACAACTTCGTCGTGCACTACAAACCGGGCAAGACCAATATTCTCGCCGACGCGCTGTCACGTCGACCAGACTACGTGCAATCGGGTCGCCATGCAATTGGTGAGGAGGAGGATGATGATGAATGCGCTGTGTGCGTCGCAGAAGGTGTCGCTGCTGTTGAGGTCACAACGACAAGCCCGCTTCGCGACTCGATTGCGCACGCGTCTGCGTACGAGGCGGATGCGTCATGCTCCGAAATGGTCAAGTACCTGCGAGACCCTTCAGACACGGCGCGTCGCCGGTTGTCCCAACGCAGTGGCGCCCGCATCGACCGCTACGCCCTAGACGACAGCCTGTTGACCTACTGCGTCTATCCTGTGGATCCCCCACGCATCGTCGTCCCGCTGGGCGAAGACCTTCGCGCGCACCTGATTCACGAGTTTCATGATACCCCGAGCGGTGGGCACCTCGGACGTGAGAAACCCTTCTCGCCGTTGTCCCGAGATTTCTATTAGCCCACATGTACTGGTGGGTCCGGAAGTGGGTGCGCTCGTGTGAAGCGTGCCATCGTGTGAAGCCGAATCCGTCGAAGCAAGCTCCGCTTCGGCCACTTCCTGTCTCCCCCATCCATGGTCCTCGGTGAGCATGGACTTCGTTTTCGGGCTGCCTCGAGATACTCAAGTCCGCACAGGAACTCTCGTCTTCGTGGATCGCTTCAGTAAGATGGTACATCTTACGCCTGTCTCCGTCAATATCACCGCGGAACCGTCGGCGGCGATCTTCGTGGACATCGTGTACCGACACCATGGCTTACCGATCTCAATCGTGTCCGATCGAGGCCCGCGTTTTACAGCCGTCTTCTGGACGCAGCTCTTCAAGCTGCTCGGGAAACGGTTGAAGGTGTCAACGGCGTCGCACCCGGAGGCGGACGGCCAAACAGAGCGCGCGAACAGAGTCGTTGAGGACGCGATGAGGTGTTTCGCCACGTCGTTCAAGTCTTGGAGCTTGTTTTTACAGATGGTCGAGCTCGCGATGAACAACTTGATTCATGCGTCGACTGGCCTTACCCCATTCTACGTGAAATATGGTCGGCAATCGCGCGTTCCAGTGCTCCTCGGTGTGGAGCGCTTCGATACAACCAACGAAGTTGATGTCGAGGGCGCGAACGGGTCCGCGCCACGAGGAGCACTCGAAATTGAAGGCACAGACGAGCCTGGCTACGTGACCCCGGTGATGTTGGTGACGCTGACGGGTCCGTGTCTCAGACATTGCGACCAACTACGAATGATCCAGTGCCTCGCGGTTCAGTGTCCGCGAGCGACGAAAGTCGTGAGAGTGCTCACGACGCGGTGAATGGCTTAACCACACATCACGCTGCGCGAGCTGCTGCGCAAGGAGTGTGCACACGTGCCTCCGCGCGCGCAGCAGTTGAAGAGGTAGCCGGCGGCACCACACGTGATCGCGTCGCTACGAGAGTGACGCCTACTTCGAGAATAGCAGCCTGGGCATCCCGGACGCTGATAAACCCACGTCATCGTCGACGTGGAATCAAGTACCAAGATGTGTCGGACGCGGCCAAGACATCCGTGTTAAAACAAGCGAACTTCAACCCCGTTCTGGCGGGACGCTGCGGCAGTCAACAAATTTGTGCAAGAACGTGAATCAGTCGTGCGGTACGTGCGTGCGCAGCGGTCAACCGTCAAAAGAATATGCCGATCGGCGGGGTCGAAAGAACCTCGAGAAGGTTGCCGTGGGCGACCGAGTCTTGCTATCCACGGCTGGAATTCAACCTGCAGCAGTAACGAACTTGGGCGCGAATAAGCTCGCTCCACGATTTACCGGATGACAAAAGTATTAGGAGGTGCTTATACGCTACGACTTCCAACTGCACTACGCTTGCATCCGACGTTCTACGTCGGACGTCTCCGCCGATACCACCCAACTACCATCCCCAGCGACGCTGACGATCCCCCAGCGGCGCGTGGCGCGTCGCCTCGTCCTGCCATTGCCGGTGCCGCAGCTCACGCTTCTCCTCCTCCAACATCTCCGTGCGACGCGCAAGACGATTCAGACGCTGTTGCGAGCGCAGCATTCCCAAACCGATCACGCTCCATACCAGCGTGATGGACCCGCGCCTCTAGTTGATCGCAGAGAGCAGGTTCGGCATATCGTGGAGGAAATCGTGCAGCACGATGATGAACGTGCTGCTCCAGGGGTGGGGCGAAGGCGACGACCAAATTCCAGATCACCGGCAATTTCTGGTGCGTTGGCTTGGTCCAATGCAGGATAGCTGGGAACCGCGTTCGGTTCTCCTGGCTGACGTGCCGGACCGCGTCGCCCTGAACGAGGGGCGCCTCCGAGGCGGCGGGACAGCGGGCCGTGCCTAGCTTCACGAATCTTGGCTTGGTACGCAGCGATTACGGACTCATCGGTGTCAGAGAACGAAACCTCTGTGACGATGTTTCGCCACTCTTCCACACTCGGTCGCGAGAGGTGCGTCTCGCGTCAACGTGGACATCCATCCTCAAAGTGAACAAAGCAACAAGTGCGGTCAGCTTGCCATGACAGCTCGCAAACATAATACGCGAGCATGCTAACCGATAAGCGTCCGTGTTGCCGCTCTTGGTGCTCCAGTGTACGCACGAACTCAGCACCTGTCTCTGTGTTCCAGTGCTCTACAAATGCCGTCCAAGGTCGGTCTAGCAAGTTAATCATCACGGTCCGAGTCTCCGTGATAGGTTTGCTGCGAGTCGCGCGCCATCGCTCAAACAACTCCATCATCTCCGCGTTTTGTCAGTGCTCCACGAAGCCACTGCAATCGTGCAGCGACCACTTCACCAACGTCTCGTCATACGAGAGGCGGTCATCCGTTCCCAGCACAGCGCGCTGCGCCGGGCCCGTGATGTTGTCAGCCATGTCCAGCCTCAATTTTTTTCTTCTTCTTCACTTCGACGTCGTTTCAGGAATGACGATGTCCCAAGCCAAGTTTCTCTAGTGTGTGTCTCATCTGAGTGAGGGGTGGTGTGACAGGTTACTGTCGCACGATCGCCTCTGTGTATCACACAGTGTCCAATCACCACTCAGTATAGGTTTAATGGTGGTGACGGTCTCGACGCACGAGACCGTCTCGTTAATCAGAGTCATATTTGCCAGTTACTTCCCAAGCACGAGTGTACGTCGGTAAACTGTTCGCATTAGCCCGTTACATAACGACACATTTAAGCGGTTCATCGCAGCAGCTTGGAAGATGTCGTTCATCGTCTCTCTGCTGTCTCCGCCGAGAATAGGCTCGCAATGTGGGTCCTGGAGCGGACCAACGTTACGACGTCTCGGAGACGTTTGACCTGATAATGCCAACCGCGGCAGCAGCGAGGCAATCAACCACACGACCGTAGTCACTGGTGGAATTACCAAACAGCTACTCGTAGAGTCACATACGGAGTCGAGGGTGAGTATGCAGCTCACGATGAAAATTGAGTCAAACACGACAAGCATGACACCAGGGATCTGATAATTGTCAGGGCACTGCAGTCTGCTTGGTGATAGCGTTGAGGAGATCCCGGCGAGTGTACTCCCACACGAATTTTACTGAATGAGACCAATAATACCTGCCCAAATAAAAACGCTCCTCTTGAAGGCTAAATCTTAGATTTTGTTCTTATGTTGGTTACTTACGTCGTTTGACCTTCGTCGCCGAGTACTGCAGAGGTACCGTAACACGGTTTGGGCCATGGCTCAAATACCACAACTTCATTGACAAAAATACTATTCGTAGACATCTCCCAAAAAGCGCACTTTTGATCTGCTGGGCACTGGCCTCGATCTCTGCGAGCTTCTTCTTGCTGTCATCCTGGCTGACTTGATCCCTGACTACTGAATCTGGATATACCGGTTCTCTCTGATCTCGTGGGCACTGCGTTCGAATTTTGCTGTCACAGTTCTCTAGAGACCGGTGCACACCTGCATAGAGCAAAAGTCCTGAACAGTGTTTCGATCAAGCAAGGCATCGAGTACATTTATTTTTGGAATTGCTGTTCTGGCGATCTACTACGACACTAAATGTTCTTGCACTGCTCTTCATCCGCTACGAGAAGTACAAGGGCGTGAACGTGAAGCCTCTAATGAACAATGCGGACAACTGGTATGTAGAGGTGCGCACGTTGGGTTCGAACAACGTTGGGAAGTTGAAAGTTTGCGATGGCGACCTACCGTTCACACCGTCAAACCAGTGTACGAAGGACCTCGAATACTTTAAAACGCTGTCTTCCAGTGAGAAGAAGCAACTTCTACGCAGCATCACAGCTCACTTCGAGCCTGATGCATGACAGCGCTCATGGGTGTAACTGGAGCTGGTAAAACGACGCTAATGGATGCTATCGCTGGACGCAAGACGGGTAGCCGCATCATGGACGACATTGTAGTAAACGGCAAGCTGATACAATATTATAATGGGGCTGTTGGTGATATGGTCAGTGGTTAGGGATAGGCAAATGCATGCATTATGGCATAAGTGCACACAAAACTCATATTTGGCCAATGAAATCAACTATGGCGAGTTTTTACCAATTATACACGTTGAATATGTAGCCATGTCGATGTCATCACAGACGCATTTCTCGTACGTCAGCGTCATACTAGCCCATTTTGCTAGTTGTAAACAGCACGGAAGATTGTTGGCGTGCTCGTGGCGCATTTCTTACAAGAGTCTTGTAACAAGACCATTGCCAACTGCAATTGCAATACTGTTGATAGTACACGGGAAAAACAAGCAGCACATGTAGCCAAATCAGTGTTGCAACTCTTGGCGGCTTCAACAGTTGAAAAAGCTGAAATGGCCCCACTCAGTTTACAACATCGACAGTGAAACACGGTTGCACTGCATCTACCTCAAATCTATTAGCGCCGAAATATAACAAAGAGCGGCTCGTGTTGTAGGGTCTCCGAAGTGCTCCGGATACTGCTCTTGAATATCCGTTGTACAGCTCGCGAATTCAAATTGGACTCGATCGTATGTGGCTACTACGCGCATCATTTTTGGCGCTCTTCTCTGGTTAAAAACTTCACATCCCGTTCATATTTGAATTCCACGGATCATCTCGGTGGGGCTAAATCAGACGTGTATTTTCCTCAGTACCGGGGAGTGGCGTGGAGGGTTCGTTTAGTAAGAATCAATTTAATAATGAGAGTCTGGAATTGTACTTCGAAGTAAGATGTGTGCCGCACCGTCGTCAGGAGTGGCTGGACGGCGACCCATCTGTGTAGAAATTGGGACTCGCAGATCTGGAAAAACAGATTCCCTGCCGGCTACGCCGACAAGTAATCATTCATTTCCACGGATCATCTTGGTGGGGCTAAATCAGAAGTATATTTTCCTCATTACCCGGGAGTGGCATGGAGGCGCTCACTTTGAATATTCCGACACGATAATCACCGGCACATTAGTTTCGAAAGTCCTTCTGTGCCTTCAGACGTTAGAACCGGATAAGATTTATAGGATGATGAAAAACAGCGCCCC